AATAGACTGAATTTTCTTGTCGAGTTGTCCACCCCAAAATCGAGCGCAGATTTAAGTTGCGTGTCCCAATGTCGATAATGCTTGTAAATAGGACATATCTTCTCCATTCGCTTCTTCCTTGCTACACTCAATATTCGACACAGGCAATTGTATGAGCTTATGAGTTGCACGTGTTTGTATATGGATCAATGAAATGCGCGCGCGTGACGACCGACAAAGTAAAAAAAAAACTTTTTCACGGTTAAGTCGTCTAATGCGTACATATATACACAACAATAGATAATATGTGAAAAAGGAATGAATTCATAAGTTATTTTTTTGTTTAAAAAAAAAACACTCATTGTTTTAAACGAACTGCTATACGACTTGTCTATACAAGACTACACTTCATACGTTGCCAACAGTTTTTATTTTTATTTGTCGATAAATGTCAGTTACGGTCATGTCGGCCGAATTCGATAGAGCCCATCATTTCAAAATTAATGTCGTAGACTTGATTTTTCTTTTGTGAAAAACATTAACGATTAAGAAACAGCTGTGAGCAAGTATCGATCAACAACCAAGTCGTCTGGTCAACGAACAAATAAATATATTTTGGTCAGGTTACGTGAAAAGTGTACGTATTAGTTTACTGACTGGTCACTTGTCGTTTCCCTATTTTATTTTCTGCCTTTTATGAACGGCAACCAAATAATGTTGCCGTTAACCTTTTTAGGCCAGTGTTGCTTTTACTTTTCATTGACAATAACGATCACAACACGAACGGAAGAAAAAATCATTTCAGCTAGACAGTAGCGGTAACCGATTAGTGGCAATTAATATAACGGCGAACATGTCAGTGTGTACTACGGTCGAATGATACTTTACACGCTCGTCTGATTATGATGATCATTCGAGCCTACATAACACAATGTAATTGAGTTCTCGGTGAATTGCAGCGAGTCGAATTACTGACGATGGTGTTGATAACTATATCGATAGCAATGTATTACCTTCATATGTTAGTTTTACGCATTTTATACGCGGTTGGATCCTTAGATGATTAACCGTTGGAAAAAAAAAATTCATTTGGAATCTGATAAATAAGTAACCCTAACCTAACCAATGAGACGGTTAAATTAAAATTGCCGTTTTTTACTTGGTCAAAGGCGTCCACGTTTTATTGCGAGTCCTTCTAACGTACTTTTCCTAATTTACTTGGCAGATTTTATAAGGGTATATTTATTTTGAAAATAAAAATTCCACGCGAGCGCGTTATTTTATTACCTTCCAGAAAACACGTCGATGTGGAAACGACTTTCGACACAGTGACGTACTAAATTGATATTAAATCCCATTTAAATTAAACGCTGTGAAAATATAATAAATGCGTTCCCTTTACATACATTTTCAACTAAAACTTAACAATTTTTCACACGCCGAAAAACAAACGATGACTGATTCTATAGAATAATGCAACGAACCAGACATTGATTGAACGAGATGTCATTTTTTTCCATTCCTATAAGTAGGCGTATGGCATTTACGGGATCTGAAACCCTTGAACAGGATACTCGATGATTACATCTTTTGAATTAAATCAACTACACCTACGTAGTAAAACCCTCGGAGGATTCAAAACGTCTTTCCGCGACTTCTCAATTGACTTTTTATAAAACTTATATTGTGAATAATAATAATTACTCGGGTATAATTATCATAGTGTGTCAAGAACAAGCACGGGGGCGAATAAAACGATATCAGTCCATTGCTTAAAAAGACTGCAAAAACAAAGTAATTTATGCAAAAACATTTAGTACCGTACTGGAATGATGACGCATATAATGTTGTCCATTTGTCTATATTACATGTGTAAATTGACAAACAATACAGAATTTACTGTTATGCGAGTAAAACAGTAAAATGTATTTAAATGTATTCATAATATTAACATACATCCCTTTAGTAATTCTACTTAATATACCGCTGTTCAAAATATTAGGAGCTGATATCGTAGTAAATGTGCAACTGTACATTATGTAAACGCATATGTTGTGTCTTACTTAATCGACCAACTCAATAAATTACAAATGTCATGCAACAAATAGTCTAATTAGAGTTGCATTTTTGTAACGATACGAACATTTAAAAAGAAAGTAAACAAATATGTTGCCATGTTGAATTGACAAGGAAAAAAATCAATTTAACGAAACAACAAAAATTTCAGTTCATAAGCCAATTCAATTACTCTTATACGTTAAAAAACGACACAATTTTAGTTATGAATTTCAATATTTAATGGAATATTTTATCAAATGTATATTACGTGTTTTCGATATGCGTGTATTTTTAATTTTCCTGCATAAAACATTGAAAAACCAATTGTCTACTCAAATCACAAGTTACAATTCATTTAATTTTAAGGGAACGCCATACAGAAAATAAAACAGTTGTACACATGTTTTGTTTAAGACAACTTTACTTGATGTGTATTGATGACAGTCACAAATTGATCACCAAATTATTGATGAGGAAATTATCTGTGTTGTAAAGTTTTTTTTTTTTTTTGTTAATTTCAAGTATTTGATATTCATTAGTAAATTTTAACAAAATTCACTATATTTTGATTTTTTAATGCTCAATATTTTCATGTGGACGACCTCAACGAAGAGTTTTGTAACTCACTGTTAAAAATTTATGTTCTTATGGTCAACAAAAAAAGTTATTTAAAAATTAAAGTGCATTTTAAGAATTTTTTGTATGCTCGTATGGCGTTCTCTTAATTTATTTGTTTAAATCCAAACCATTTAAATATATAAGCCAATGTTTAAATCAATTTACTTTAGTAGAACTAATTTTTCTTTCGTAGAAAAATTTGTCTTGTGTATTAAAATTTAATAACCACAATTTAGTCGTTAATTATATTCATAGAAAAACAGTCGTGAAATACTGCAACACTGAAAACTGACGCATAGGAGTGTCGTACAGGAACAATAATACCAAGTTCAATTCTAAAGGCTTCCTTGACTTTAATAAAAGCGCATATCGAATCGATTCCTCATCTCTACCGTTAAAAAGTTACAACTAATCGCATAGTTTATTCATTAAATAGTTTTACAAAAAACTTTTAAATCATCGATCGCCCGTTTTTATTGATTACATTTTTAACTGTCAAATGTAGACCAAAAACTTATAGCGCATGTTTATGAGCTAATAATAATAATATCGTTGATCATTAAATATTCATAAAAAAAACAAACCAAGACAGTTTAGTTTTAGACAACACGTTACAATAATGTTATTTATTAACACGAAAGCAAATTTGTTAGTAGCGCTGGCTAATAAAAAAAATAAAGTGTTCACAAAAAAAATAAGTTAATGATTTAAAATGACAGTTTAAATTACAGGAGGAAAAAAGTATTAAGCATTGAAAATGTGTTAGAGCGTCAACCAACAAAATTAGTGAAAAAAATAAAAGAGAACACTTTGAACTCAAAAAACAAATATTAGATGATAGAAGCGTTATATTCAGGTTCAGCGTGGGTTAAGAGANGTATTAAGCATTGAAAATGTGTTAGAGCGTCAACCAACAAAATTAGTGAAAAAAATAAAAGAGAACACTTTGAACTCAAAAAAATAAATATTAGATGATAGAAGCGTTATATTCAGGTTCAGCGTGGGTTAAGAGATTTTGATTATATACAATATGTAATTTTATCTCGACAAATAATTTCAAAAATATGTTTATCAGTTTTAAAAGATTAGCTTGATACATTATCTCATATCACCGAACGTGAATGACAACTTATTTAAAATAATTCAATAATCAAATGATAAATATGTTTTTTGTCATGCAATATTCATGACTTGTTAGACCATTATGAGCAATTTTATTATCTTCCGAAAACTTCAACTTTCAAGTATCCTTATAGTCCATATCTTAAGTTTAAATTTAATGGTAATAATGAAAACAAATACAATAAAGTCACTTCATTGTATTAATTGATTAATTACACGAGAAATAATATCTCTATCAACACACCGTTCCTCTTTGCGTACACATTTTGAAACAAGCATTTTAATAAAAATTAACAGTATAATTACTACAATCAATAAGATGTAATCAATAATTATTCAAGATAAATAAACATATAAAAGTAGTAGAATACTTATCGAGTTTTAGTGGTCATGAAGTAATATTTTAGTACCAATCGACGATTTAATCAATCAATCACACAATTTCATACGGTTTAATTTATTACCGAGTTCGAATTAATATTTTAATTAAAACAAAATTATTTTAACAGTAGTCTTTTACTACTCGGCTTTGTATCATTATAATAAACGACAACAGCTGCTGTCATAAAATGGTCAGAGAAAAATATAAAACTACTAGATTTATGTAATACTGGCCACTAACGTTTCATTTAACTATTACTCTTTTCGCAGAGTGTTGCCGCCAACCTGGATTTTACGGTCTAGGGATAAATGAAAGAATCCTTATTGTTTTTTACATAGTAAAACCGCCCTCAGTCACTTGTTATCATTTTTTTCTAATTTCAATAGCAGATTTTGCTTATTTGATAGATTAGCAATACTATAGATACTCAGAAATATAAAATACAATGAGACACGCGAATTCAAAATATATTTCTCGTTTTAATTTTGTGCTATAGAAAAAAAGTTGAAAGATTCAACTTTACAAACTTTACAAAAAAGACTTTTTATGACTAATCGGATTATATTAAAAGATTTTTACCGCATTTTTTATGACAATATGTTAGATGGAGAAAAAATAACATAACAACAACAATACGCTGGTGTTTATGTAATTTTTACACTAGAAAATAACGAGTCGTATCAAAATATTTAAGGGTACAGAATCACATCAAATGTTGGCATTATAATCAGCATTAATTAGTCCATCCCCAGGGTTTCTCATTCACTCGGGCGTGATTCGGAATGGACAGTCCGTACCAGATGGTACCGGTTCAGAGTGACTATCGTGGAAATTCACTTACCTAACGTGATGGGCAGCTCTCGCCATCTAGTCTTCTTGCCCTTCTTGCCCATTTTACCACCAACTAGACATGTGTGTCCTCTTGCGCCGACTTGACGATGATTACCGCTTGACGGTTGTTGACGAACACTCGGTCGGGGACGCGGCGCACCCGATAAATGTAAAAATTGAAAATCCCAAGTAAGTTGGCTTAAACAGCACGTATGTTACTGGTTGAAGAGTGATTTTTTTATGTATGATTGTTTTTAAAAGCCTATACCGGGCGTAGTCCTGTCGTTTACCAGCACTACAGCGGCGCGATGAAAGTTTATGAGTCGTACGCCGGCAACGATTGTATCTCGTGTAAATATGTTTTGTACTGTCTTGTTTCTGACGGTACTGTTGTGTTTATGATCAAAACACTGTGCAAGAAAAAAAGTGACAGATTGTACACCACACGAAGAGCGAATGTGTGAGAGAGAGACGGTGACGAGGACAGCGCGAGCGCGCGGCCGTGTAACTCGCGATCGAGCGGCTTGAATGGAATTGGACGATTATCAGTGTTAGACCGCTGTGCTGCTACCGCCGCTGTTGTCGCCACCACCACCGCCGGTGTGTCGCGTGTGCGTTTGGGGTACCCAACGGCGTCGGCGGTGGGGGTTCGGTACGACTACGTGTTACGACAAGCACATGCGCGACACTTCACCGTCGGGCCGGGCGTATCGTTCAGCGCTGCTCGGCCTTATGATTTCTTTCCACCACGCGCCTTTTTCAGCGAAAATTTCAACATTTTATTACATGGACGGATATGAAATTAACACTAATTAAAACTTCATTGATGATAATTATAAGCAAATAATTTGCTTTTGCTGTTATTTTTTCTTAAATACCATGGGGACATTTTTTTTCAAACGAATTGTGATTTCGTTGTTTTTATCAAAGCCTAATACTTGCAAATTAAAAAAAAAATTGCCGATTAATAAATCAATCAAAATATGTTGAAATGAAATCGATCAACTAATAATCTAATGTTTCGCAACGGATATATGAATTATGTTTCCAACGGAAATATTTCATAACTTTTGGTAATAGACTGTTATTGCACAACATGACGCGATTTGTAGCAATTTATCTAATACAGCTAAGCGTACCTACGTCTCGGGCATCGGTTCGTTACTTTTAGAAAAAAAAATTGAGCTCCTTTTCAAAGCTAAAATTTATTTTTGTAGTTTTTAAATATAATTTTAATATTTTGTTGTATCTTGCCAAAACACTTTTATTTTAAATTGTTAAAAAAACTATGGCGTATTTTATTTATCTAAAAAGTATCACTTAAACAGGAACTTATTATATTAAAAAACATATTAATTTTAATGAAACATGAAGTGCACCTGATAAATTATTTTTTATGTTTCATGTTGTACAGTTAAAACATTTCAACGTTGAAATTCAAGTCATTTGAGTTATTGACAATTTGTAGCAAAACTTTTAACATATATTTTCTAACTTTTGTTATTAAAATAATTTTTAATCAGTTTTTGAGGTTATAAAAACTTGTTTAATTGAATATCTTACATAATAATATAATGTAAAAAATATATTAAATTGAACGATTTTAATGACAAAGTGGTTAGTGGATAAAGGTAGATTTTCTTGGCCATTTAAATATTTTTTAATATAAGCAAACTAACTATGAAGAATGGTTAGTATCCATAAAATTTAAGCAGTTCGTGACATACCTACGAATAAAAATATTGAATATTTTAAATATGATATCTTTGGCTATAAAATCCAACAATATTTCTTAATTTTAATCATCTGTATAATAATATTAATAATAATAATATTATTTGCCTTTCAATCAGTTGAGTATCCAGGAATTTTTTTGTCGGGAGGTGGATAAATGGAATATAACAAATTGTATTGTTTTTAAGCTTAAGTGATTTTTATTGTACATAATTATAAATTGTATTTTATTACTTGTATTATTTTTTTCTAACTGTTAATTGTTGGTTAATTTTTTATATTATATATTGTACAATGTTGATATTTAGAAACAATTTTTGAAAGACGGTTACAAACTCCTGAATACGCTACGTCTTTTTACGGAAAATTTGAAATACATTGACATGACACCAAGTAATTGGGATTAAGGCGAGAAAATAAAAAGGAGATTGATTTTCTTTATAAGAAAGAAATTTATTTACTATACTTAAAAATTTAAACTAAAATTTACTAATTAAGAATATCTTATTTCATGATAAATTTCTTAATTTATACTACACCAATAATTTGGTATACTAGAGGAATTTTTTATTCTAGAACATAATTTTTAATATTAAGTTTCAAAAAACTTTTAAAAATTGCATAATTCTAATTATGCAATTATTCTAAAAAAATCTAATTGGCACCTTGGGAATCGAACTTTTTACTGTACAACATACGTTTTTACACAATAAGCCAGGTCGATTCCTAGCCTGGCCCCGACCACCTATTAACTGTTTTTTTAATAAAATTAAAAATATAATAAAACATTTTTTTTTAATATATCAACCAATTTCTGAAAAATTATAATAATTATTATATAGTGTTCAGTAAATAAGGAAACAGATTTTAATTCTGTTCTCATTATTTATAAAAATTGACTTGTTTCCTTACTTAGTGAACATTCTGTATATTGTATTAGTATGTTATATATATTTTATTATTTAGATTATATTATATAAGAATAGAGAATATAGAGAATTCCAATGAGGCTGAAAGGTAAGTTCTATAAGACTATAGTGAGACTAGCTATGATATATGGTTCAGAGTGTTGGGCTGTTGACAAGAAAGTATAGCATATATGAGAATGCTTAGATGGATGAGTGGAGTAACGAGAGAAGATAGTATAAGGAATGAACTTATAAAAGAGAGTATAAGTGTAGCGTCAATCGTGGATAAGATGTGAGAAAATAGACTTGGATGGTTTTGTTGTGTTATGAGGGGAGAGGAATAAGCGGAAGCTCTAAAAACAGTTATAGAAATGAATTTTGAAGGAAGAATAGGTAGAGGAAGACCAAACAAGTGATAGAGGAACGTAATTGAATGCGATATGAGGACAGCTGATGTGAGCGTAAATGATGTGGCAGATCGTGTCTAGTGGAAGTTTAGGATAAGGATGGCCTACCCTCAAGTAATTGGGATTAAGCCGAGGATGAAGAAGAAAAAGATTAACATTATATTATATATTGTTTATTGTTTCTACGACAAAACCGCATCTTTATTTTTTGAAATTATTTAAAGAAAAGAAAATAATACACCATTTTTTTGTACCTCATAGGCGTAAATCAAAGGACTTAAGGAAGCTTAGCTTCCTTAATTGTTCCCGCAGCCTCCCAAAATTAAAAACCCAGCACAGGGGGGTCGCGGCACAGTGGTGACGTGGCATAGTTGGATCAAGTATAATGATATCTGACAGTGATTAAAATCACTATCAAAAAAAAACGCTTCGATGCAAATCTTTAGATAGTGTTTAATTTTAAAAAATTGGTGGATTATTCCAAAAGCTTCATAAACTGCTAGTTCCTTATTAATATCCTGATTAAGACAAAGTATGTCGAATAAAAAAGAGATTATTAGAAAATAGTATTTCCCATAAAAAAATTATATTGATCAATACACTTTTCAATAAGTTATAGCATTATAATGTTAAAAATGTAAAAAATAAAATTGAGAATTTTCACACAATAATAGCATTTGGTAGCCATTTTCACCTTGAAGATAAAATAAAGTCCGAAATTTTTTTTTCCATGATAAAGTATATTACATTAGCTTTAATTTAATATATATAGAAAAGTGTCAGAC